AAAGAAAATGTGATACATATATGCACATACACACACATAATGGAGTTTTTTTGGGGGGAGAGGGGTGCCAGGGATTGAACTCAGGGGCACTTGACCACTGAATCAACCCCTACCCTATTTTATATATTATTAGATACAGGATCTCATTGAGTTGCTTAGTGCCTCTTTAGATTGCTAAGGCTGGCTTTGAACTCCTGTCCTCATGCCTCCACCTCCAGAGCCACTGGGATTATAGGTGTGGGCTACCCCGCCCAGCCCATAATGGAGTTATATTCAGCCATAAATATTATGAATAATAAAATAAAATAAGTCATTTGCATGAAAATGAAAGGAATTGGAAAACATCATGTTAAATGAAATAAGCCAGATACAAAAAGACAAAGTCAGAAGAGATATTTTTAAAATGGGAGCTCCTGATAGGTCAAGACAAATATGGAATGTTTTCTCTTATGTGTAGAATCTAGAAAAAAAGTTGTCATAAAGTAGGAGGGAGAACCATTACAGTAGAGAAAAGGGATTAGAGGGATTGAGCAGGGAAGATTAAGGGGAGGTTTTTGGGGAGTGAAATCAATCAAATTATGTTATATACATGTACAACTATTACAAATTAAACCCATTATTCTATATAATTAATATGTACCAATTAATTTTTTAAATAAAATAATTCAAAATTGTTCTATATTATTTTATTAAATTTATCTAGTTATATTTGGAAAACTGATGTCTGGCATAGTTCTGGCTTGCATGATAATTTTGCAGATCACTTTTGATTAATATATAGACATTCTAATTAAATGCCCATGTGCTGAGAGTTTTCATCAATATGTATTGAATTTTATGATTTTTTTTGCATCTGAAATAATCAAACTATTTTTTGCTTTTCTTTATAGTTTTTTTTGTATTGATACATACTTATATTTCTACAAAAACTTTTACCCTTGCATTATATAAATTTAAGCTTTTATATATCATAAAATGAACATATAATATGTATTATTTTCTTAATCATGAGTAAAATTGTCTGTATTTGCATTTGTTCTTACATGTTTGCCAGATTTTAAAAGATAGATATTATTAGTCTAAAAAAAATAAGGTCAGCAGTTTCCCTGTTTTACTGTTCTTTGCACCTGTATGGCATAAAGATTTGGAAATAATTTTCTTTGAGTCCTGTGATTCAACCACCAGTCTTCCTACTTTGGTACATTATGAAATATTACATGGTTTAGCATGATTTTCTATTTCGTCTTGAATGAATTTTTTCAATTTATTTTTTCTCATATCTGTCTACTTTATTCCTGTTTTAAAATTTTTCTTAGAGAATTTAAGGTTAGTAGATTTGGTGGGCAAAATTATAAGATGGTCCTCAGGACTAAGGCCTTCTGTTACTCATGCCCTGAGTATGGGTGAAAGCTATGAATATGACATTCCTCCTATGAATATGTTAAACTATATGGAAAAGGTATTTTGTAAGTGTAACTAAGGACTCCAATCAGTTGCCCTTGATTTAGTCAAACAGGAGAGTATCCTATGTTGTGCTGACCTAGTTTGATGGGACTTTGAAGGGGCACGCAGCAGCTTTTCTGTTGACCATGAAGGAGTGTGGTCATGCTACAAAGGGATGAGTCAAAGGCCTCAGAACAGCTTCTGAATGCTGAGAGACATCCTTGTTTGGCACCTAACAAGAAAAATAGATACCTAAGTCCTACAGGAAGAATGAAATAAAAGCTGCTACTACTACACTGATTTTGAACAACTCCCAATCCTAAATGAGATCATAGCCCCAGTCAATACCTTGATTTCAGCCTGGTAAACCCTAAACAGAGGATATAATTATCTGATATTTGCACACTTAAACAAGGAAACTATAAAGTGATACAATGATATCATTTCATGCCACTAAATATCAGCCTATGAAGTAGATGCCATTAGCACTTTATATATATATATATATATATATATATATATATATATATATATAAATTTTGGAGGATTATAGAATTGTTATTTTTTATGCAGCAATATAAAACTTATAACAATAGATAATGAACAGCAAAAAGATGGTTTTCACAACTTAAACACACTCTAACTTCAGAATTCATATTCATAATTGTGCTACCCTTCTTACTTTGTGATACTTGTTCCCAGTAATAGACATTTACCATATTTGTTGATCTGAAAAACTAAATTACAATAGAGTTCATTGAATTATTACCATTAAATTGAGGGCTTTGTCTCTTTTGTCTCACTGAAATGGAATTCAATATATTGGACCCAGGTCATCTTTTATTGTCTTTATCTTTATTGTATCCTTCTTATCTGCATATTTTCAATTTGGAGAAAGTGCTTTGTATGCGTTTTTCAGTAAGGATAATGACTACTCTGTAACAGAAGATAAAAATCATGAGGATCTAATTTTCCAAATTGTGCAAACCTTTATTCTTTTTGATAAATATGTTTTAAATACATTTTCCTCCTCTACCAAAAGTGGCTTAACATATTATCATTATTTTATAAATTCACAGTCTGGTTTAAAAATAGTATTTTACCTTAAGTCATTATTCAGTATTGCTGAAATTAACTTTTTAATGCTTCATGAAAAAAACACTTTTAAAAAGAATGTCAAAATTTAAAATATGCTTCTAACACAAGTAGGGTACTGATGAGGAGACATAGTTGAACTCTGGGTTGTTTCTATTTTATACTCTTTCTTGTTTCCATCAACATTCATTTATTTAATGTTTTAAAATATCTAAAAATATATTTTCTTTATTATTTCATGTTTCCACTTTGTACAGATTCCATCATATTTACAGATCACTGCTATAATATCTAATACTTTAATGATAAGTATACCCTGAAATTGTGATAATTTTCTAATTATTAAATACAAAATTCCAAAATTATTAGCTTTTATGAAATAAACATATTTAATGAGAAAGAAATATAGCTGTTTTTTGATTCTCTGTATTAGAGATACAGTAAAATTAAAACCAGTAATTTTTTTTGTGTGTGCTTTTGTCTTTAAAAAAGTGATTCATACCTATTAAAAAGTGAAATTTCAGATTAGAACTAAAGAGACATGACTTACCATTCAGAATTTATTCCTGTTCTGCCCAGTCTATTCTGTTCTGGTCTCCACTGCTGAATGAGGCAGTTTTCCCCAGTTTCAGAGTCAGCATTCTCTTTTATGTTGAAGAAGAGTGTCTACTACAAATAGCATGATGATAAAATTTTATCATTGCATTCAATATTTGCATATGTGCTCTTTTAGCATTTACCAAAAGTAAGCCAAACACAACTCATGAAATTTGAGGTACCTTACTCAGGGAATAAGAGCAATGTATGGAGCACAAAACATGTGAAATTGATGCAAAACCCCAGCAAATCATGAGAACTAGTTTCTACTTTGAGTGGAAATTAATACACATTGAGTGGATAATTAATACACATTGCAGGAATGAAGCCCAATTTTGACATTAGTATGTCTTCATATCCCAGCTTTTCAGCTGCTTATATAGCATTGAAAACCATATGGCCTCAGTAAGCCAAAACAGGGCACCAAATGAAACTTACATATTTGAATTATCCTAATTTAGGTGCACCATACATAAAGCATGCATTTTTTTTGTTCTTCTGATAATATGATGTTTCACTAAGTTTAAAATAAATTTGTTGTCTATAATGAGTAAAAGTAATAGACTCCATTTGAAATCTGAGTACTAATTGTAGTCTTTACATTATGTTGCTTATTTTGTTTTATTTATTTATTTATTTTTTGTTTATTCAACCAACATAACTTAAGCATGTATCCTGGAAATTTCCAAGACACTGAGATGTATTAAACTAAGTCTCATTCTCTAATCTCATGGAACTCTCGCTCCTCATATACCTGTTTATAACTGTATAGACTATATTCACAAATGGAGAGACAAAAGTTTATGTCATCTAGCATTGCTCCTTGCAATATAAATGCAAGTGTGTAATTCAGCTTTTCTAGATATCACATTAAAAGAAATTTAAAAAGCAGATAAAATTAGGTTTAATAATATTTTTGTTTCAAAATGTTTATCCTAACTATTGCTATTTTTACAGGTAAATAAAAAGGTTGTAAATGTCATACTTGCCATTAGTTTTATTCATAGTGAATTTTCAAAATCCAATGTATATATATATATTATTTAGGGCATATATAAGTACTAGCCATTTTCAATGCTCTCTAACCACTTAAATCTAGTTGCTACTTCTACTGAAAACTGAAGATGTAGATAACAACTATCATTGATTTTGGCATTTTTCATAATACTTTCTTTAGACTCTCTAAACATAAATGCCTGAATTCTAATTTATCACAAAGACATATTCTTCAAAGTATTTTTTTATTTAGTAACTAACTATTGCTCTTCAGTAATTTGAGGTTTTTGTTTGTTTACCTAACACAGGAAAAACAAGACCTTTGTAATGTGAATAATATTGTTTTACATGACCTCTTTGTGTGAAATGTCATGCAAATTTTTACAGTTTAATTTACTATTATTACTGAAATTTATGTTACTTATTTGTCAGTAATATTATGAATATATTCAGAAGGCTCACTTTTTGTACTTTTATTTTTTTAAATTGTGATCTAATTGCTAAGCTGCAAAAATAGTTCTTTAGTTTTGTTCATGTTAGTAACAATCACTTTAATAATATACTACTTTTTAAAAAAATTTAGCAAGATGATAGTTATATATTGTGGTCATGATATACAAAATGTTAATGTTATATAGATTGTATTGACAAACTACAATATTTTATTGAATTATATATAAATCAATGTGGTTCACATAAATTTCCATTGGAGTAAAAATCATTTGGGGAGAGAATAGATGTTTTATTAAAACTGAAAACAAGATTACAAATTGCCAGAGACATCAGAATAGCTAAGAGTGATGACTGGATGATAGGTAAAATAACAATAAATAACTTAACAGTTTTATAATTTTCATACTCTCTTAGAGCTGCCATGCATGCCTGTCTGATTGGGAAGGAACTTTTTGTGAACAAGAAACCAATGAGTGCAAAAAGAATCCTTGCAAGAACAATTCCACCTGTAGTGACCTTTACAAAAGCTATCAGTGAGTAATATATTTTTAGTTTTCTTCATGAAATTACTTGGACTGCTCAATGTCCTTGGGATGCATCCAGATACTATTTTCACTTTTCCATTTAATTAAAATAACCATCCAAAGATGAAGAGTCATTTCTTGACTTGACAGTGTCACATTAGCTTGAAATTTGCAAATACCAAAGTCCAGATGTCAAATCAGCAAAGGAATAAACAAATTTAGCTTGGAAAGGCAATTTGCAGATGTGGGCATGTAACAGATGCATTTATTTCTTCAAAGTGTGTTTTTTCATCTCAGTGGTGTTGTGGACCATTCACACAATGTGACTAGGAAGGAATGGGTCAATTGAATTAAAATATTCAGTCTGTTACCCAGATATTATCAGGAGTCTGTATTATTTTAGGAAAATTAGTGCCAAGTTTTACAACATAAATGATCACTGTGTTCTATAGTTGAATATTATTCAATACTAACAATTGACAAACAAATATATTGCATTGTTATTTAACTTGTACTTCTTGATTCATTCAATAAATATCAGATCTCTCAAGTGTATGCAAGATCACAAGTATTATAATCAGAATGCTTTACTTCTAGTCATGGAGGCAAAAGAAAATAATAGATATAACAGAAAATAATATTATAATTAAATATAAATATACTCAAATGATTATTTTCCAGGGATTAATCAAAACAATCAAAACATGTCCTGGGAAATAACTCATACACTTCCTTTTGCCCTATGATTACAGTTCAGAATTCTGAATTATACTAATTATTTAAAGATTTTCAAAATGTGTCCCTCAATTTTGGTAACTAAAGTAGAATATAAGACTAAGAATGTCAACAGTAGGCAATTTACTTTATTAGAACAAAATTCTTACATAATTTACAATAGTTGGGTTGAAATTTTGAAGATAACAATAAATAAATACTTAATTTGGGTAACATGGAGACCCACAATGCTGATAGATAATACTAATTTCAAATGTAGAAAAATATAAAAATCCAGAGCTATTTTTGTGACATTATCAATTACTAAAAATGGTATATCACTGCAAATTGATAATAATAGCCTCTCTGTCTAGTATTAGGAGAAATAACCAGTTTTTTGATGGAAAACAAACAAAAAATGTCACATTTATCTATATTTGTTTTTCTTAAATAATTCTATGAATTATAATTCCTAATATATTTAAATTTTACAGTATTTCCTTCATCGAGATGCTGATATGTATTTTTTAGCCTGTAGTTCTTTAATTCCCAAAGATTATGTATCACAGGGCATTGGTGATGTAGACAGTCAAACCTGTGGCGGGGGAAGTCAGCAATGTAATGCACTGCAATGAGGGAAAAGGCACACCCCTCTTGACCCATGGCAATCTTACACACAGGTGCTAGAAAGAATTATAAGTTTGATCCTGTTATATACTTTGGGGGAAGGGTTTAAGAAGTGAGACTTCATTCTCCATAGGAGCTTGTTAGAAATTGAGCAAAATTCTATTATGTCTGAGTTCACAAAACTTACCTGGAAGGATAGAAGACAAGAGGGGATAAAAGCCTAGTTTTCTTAATGAGGGGGAATTTCTCATGCTAGCTACAATGGAGGAATATTCTGGTTATAATTTTAAATTTGAATGATGTGTATAATGTGATCACTCTGCAGATATGATTATGATCTAGTCTACTTTCTGTTATGATCCATTGGGGTCATAGAGTGGCCTTGTCTGGTGTTTTGCGATACGTCTGTTGAAATGTTCAACAGGAGAATACCAAGATCCCCCTGTGAACCTAGTTTATAGTAGCTTACCAGCTCCCTGATATCCTGGGTATCAGGAGATGTTTTCACTCCCAAAATAATGCAGTCTCAATATATATGTGAAATTATCTATCTATCTTATCTATCTATCTATCTGCCTACCTATCCTATGAATCATACAGAGAATAGGGCTGCCAACATTTGTATAATCAATAATTAGTCTTTAACTTTTGATTTCCCCAAAACTTAACCTGGAGCCTGCTCTGGACTAGAAGTCCCATCAGTAAAAATAGATAACAGACATTGTATGTTGTATGTATCATATTGCAAAAAATATCCAAGAATGGTGAAAGATCACTTTTAAACTGTGATAATTTACTGGAGAGACAAACTAATCATACCAAGATGATTATTATCACACAGTGTTTTAAGTGGCAGTTCCCAACACTGGAGCTCACCAACTAGCAACAAGAAGTAAGGATTAAATTATTACAGTAGTAAAATATGCAGAACAGTTCAGTATGATTTAATACTGCATCTTTTTGTTTTTATTTCTTTACTATGAATGGTGCCATGTTGTGCTGTATGTGCTTAAAATTTGATAAACTTTAACTTTTTAAATAAATTTGTGCATAGAGATTGTAGTATATTACAAAATACTCTTCTATACAGAGTTTTTTTTCATTCATGACATATCTACATTTGTTTAATTTTTTGATATTTCCAGTATGTATGGTTTATCTGCAAGGTTTTTCAAATTGCTACAACTCTAATAAAAATTATTCACATATAAGTGGACCCCACACAATTCAAACTTGAGTAATAAATGGGTGTGTGTATGTATGAAGAATTCAACACTTATCTTAGTCCACTTATTTGTTCAAAAATAGATTTTTCTAAAAACATGCATCAAACAAAATGAGAACACTCAAATATTCATTTATTATCTAATGTGGAAGTGCTTTTATTTAAATAAAAATATTGCACTTAATACAGAGGTATTAAGAATTGTAAATGAGACAAGCAACAAAATAGGGCTTAATTAAAATATGCTTTATTTTAATATACATGAGGCATAATCAGTCTTTCTAGATGACTCTGACACCACTAATTGTGAACTCCTAATGACTTAAATTTATAAATGTGTCAGAAGACTTTGTCACTTAAATTAGCACAAAGTGTCATAGTCATTTTATCATTCTTGAGATTTTTGAGAGATTGCTGGTTTATATCTAAGATATTAACTTGCATTTGGGGTAGGGCATAAAAATAAGTCTAGGGTCAAGTAATCTTTCTGATTGTGATTCTATTTGTGATTTTAAAGATCATGTATTATTATTAATGTTATACTCACATTAGCTTTACCAGGATGCAGGAAGAAAACAGCATTCACTAGATGTGCTATCAATTTATATACTATGTATGTTATATATGACATCTTCTTATTTATGAATTCTCTCACTAATTTATATTTTTATAACTTTGAGAAATAATTTGCGTATCATATTTGACATTTTTGAAGTGTACAATGCAACAGATTTTAGTATATTCATGGAACATTTCAACTATTACCACCATCTAATTTTAGAATGTTTTCACTCCTGAAGAATCTATGCCCATTTGCAGTACCTCCCCATTATCCCAGAGCCTTGAAACCACTGATACACTTTCTGTCTCTGTGGATTCATCAATTTTTGAAAATTCATGTTAACAGAATGATAAATCTTTTGTGACTGGTATATTTTACTTAGCATAATATTTTGAATTTTTATGTTGAACCAAATGTTTATAGTTCATTCTCTTTTTAATCGCCAAATATTTCATTGTATGGTGATTCCACATTGTTTGTTCTTCACGTTATGGACATATAAATTGTTCCTTGTTTTGACTCTAATGAATATGCCATAAACATTCATGTGCACATATGTGTATGGAAATGTATCTTCAAATCTTTGAGTATATATCCAGTAGTGGAATTGCTGTAACACCTAACAATGCTATGGTTAACTTTTACTAAAACAGTCAAACTACCTTCTGAAGTAAATATACTACTTTACAGTTTCTCCAGCAATGCATTAGAGTTATAAATCCTCCACATCTAGCCATTCCTTATATGGTTTTATCTTAACAGTTCCAGTTGCTGTGAAGGGGTATCTCATGTTGTGTTTGTTTTGCATTTTCTTAAAGACTAATGAGGGTGATCATCTTAATATGTGCTTTCTGGCTATGTGAATCTTTAGACCCTTAGCTTGAAAATTCAGTTATCTTTTTTTTATTTTATTTTGAGTTTGTAAGAACTTTTTTAATATACTTTGTATACAACTACATTATCAGATATTATTTGTAAATAGTTTCTTTAATTTTGATAAAGACTAATTGTTATGTTTTCTTATGTCACTTTTGCTTTCAGTGTCATCTTTAGGAAACTTTTCCCTAATCTAAAGTTATAAGGATTGCTAATACTCTATTTTCTTCAAGAAATTTTATACTTTAAACTCTTATATTTAAGGATAATCCATTTTTAATTAGTTATTTTTTGTGTGAAGTGTAAGGTAAGGGTCTAATATTATTTTTCTGCATGCTGATATTCAGACTCTTGAGAATTTCAGCATGCAGAAAAATGAAAAGCTTTTTGTTGCTGTGACCAAAATACCTGAAAACAACAGCTTAGAGGAAGAAAAGTTTATTAGGATTCACAATTTCAAAAGTTCAATCCATGATCAGTTACTCAATTGCTCTGGGCTTTTGCTGAGGCAGAACATAAAGGTGGAAATGCATGGCAGAAGAAAGCTTCTCAGTTCGTGGCAACTATGAAGCAGAAAAAAATGGGTGAGGAGCTAGGAATCAAATATAACCCCAAAGCCATCCCCAGTGACTGACTTCCCCAAGCCACAGCCTACATGCCTAGTTACCACTTAGTAGAATAGTCTGCCAAATTAGTAATCCAGCTAATGGACTAATCCATTGAGTGGGTTATACTACTTGTGATCTAGCCATTTCAGCTTTGAATATTCCTGCATTGTCTCTAACATGAACTTTCAGGGTTGCCTCATCCAAACCATAAGAGAAGACTATTCCTTTCATATTCATTTTTCTTGTTACCTTTAACTAGGAATAAATCAAAAAATGAGGGTTTATATCTGGAATTTCAAATCTATTCTATTGCACTGTCTCTTCTTATCCTTGTACCATATTTTCTTATCCTAGATTTAAGTATTTTGAAATCAGAAGTATGTATCAAATATGTTTT